TTTTTTTTTTTTTTTTAATATAACCACAGTTATAATCGACTATATATATTATTAAACATATAGCAGGTTGTCGACCTTCCACGAAAGGTATCAACGAAGATATTTGTCGAGTAGCGATCGATGCATCACAATCGATATCACGACTTGGTGAAACGAAAGTGTCTCCTGCATTTAATATATCGCCAAGTCGCTGATATCTCTCTCTGTGGACCATTCGAGATTCTTGTATCGATTCGATGCGCCATCGTACATACAATCCACTTATCTTATCATGTAAAAATACATTACTGTTTCGAAACACACGGAACCTTTTTATAATTCCAACATCTCCTGAAATACAATTAACGATTCACATAATTTATTTGCTTGAGAGCTTTTCTATTCAAGCTTATAATAATTAAGTATTAAGACTTTTGATAATTTGAAAATAATTATTAATTAATATAACAATGAAAAAATATGAAGAAAAGTACACAATAGTAGTATTTACATTATATTTATAATAAGTGACGTTAAATTTACTTATGTATGTATTTTATATAATTGGCCTTATTCTTTTGCTACATAACTTTGCTTCAATTTTTTTATTTGTTTATATGTATAGCACACTTAATTTATTTTATTTTTATTTTACTTTTATAATTTAAATGTAAACTAGATTTAACGTGCTAAAATACCCACATTTTAAATAAAAAGCTAAACTGTAGAAATAATAATTCGCATATTTGCTACGCTCAATTTTATTATCAGGAGAAGATTCTCTCCAAGATTAACTCTGTTAATTCTCGAAATATTTTTCGCGATATTAATGTTAGAAATGGATGACACACATAGTGAGAAAACACGATCTTTTACATAAATAACTGAGTTAAAATTTTGTCTCGCAATTTTAGAAGATTTTCGATAAAACTTGCATTAAAACTCAATTGATTAATTAAAAAATTTTGCACCAAATTTAACATAATGCTAATTTGAAAATTGTACAAGGATAGAAACAAGCAGCATAACCAGCTTGATAAATAAAACGATGCAACTGTCATGTGTATAATTATTCATACAATGCGGTAAAATAATATCAATAAGAAAATAATACTTGTTCTAATTACGTATTTCTTAACGCGAACGAACGATTAAACGAGTCGTCGCACTGTATAACAGCCGACAGCTGTGCGTTCGTTGTTAGCAATGCAATTAAAGACGGAATAACCGAGTGGAAGCACCATGACTCACGGAGGAGAGTGACGATTCAGCGAGAGAAAATGTGAGAGAGCGACCGAAAGAAATCACAAGCCGGACAAACACGGGATATCGGTACGGAAATCGCAAACGAAAAAAACCGTCAGTCGTCGAATCCTCCGCCTGTCATCGGTACGTCACTATAAGTGCACGTCCGTAGTTTCGCCGCATAGTGACAATCATATATATTCTTTTATCAATAAGCGAATAAATTCGGCGAACTATTATATAATCTCTTATCCCCATTACATGTTACTCAACAAAGACAGGCACTTTTCGCGATGTTAACAATCCTGTAAACAGATTTACGCGCCGATTGCGGCGGATGGTTTCGATGTAATCATATCAATCACGCGCCGCTAAATCAATCGTAATGGCATGTTATAAATTTTCCACGTTTTACATAACGACAGCGAGAATTTATTGTAGCTTATACTTGGTTGAGAATCCAAATGAATCATCATATTTTTTTTTTTTTTAATTTTCTTGTGTTATCAAGTACAAAAGAATATCGATAGATATTAAATTAATAATATGTGCATACGCAGACTTTTTTATTCATTCATTCTGGATAATTTAATATACCTGTAAACGTTAATGCTCTCTTCTTAAAGTATAAGCATCAATGTTGTCGCTATCTCAATCGTTATGCGCGGACAGAATGATAACATCCTATTGATAATATCCATCGATTATATCCCCGCGAAGCGAGCAAAATCATTATAACATACATATACATTTGTACGTATCTATTTCAGAGAATCATTTTTTTCAAATCACACAAAACCGATTCCATCGTCATCATGGGCCCGTCGCACTAACTTTCCAGATGCATTTTTTCTTTTAGATTTATCTACTCACGAACAGTCATACTCTTGCGAATTTATTTCTACTGTTACACGCAAGTTCGCTCTTTTGTCATTAATTATTATTACTTCTTTGTATACATCTATAATTTATTGTCGCGTATAATTGACTAGTTCGTGAAATATTCTGGCAAGCAACGTATCCTGCTTCCCAGCAATTTAAAGGCAACGCAAAGTTTGCTTGAATTTATGCATGGCCTCTGGTAGAAACCAATCGCATGTCAACGTCGAAACTCACATTATTGTTTTTAATTCATTCCGCAGGATCCGACTGAGACGATGGGATATGGACCGGGAAATATTCAAATTTCTTTGGCTAACGGGAACATTATGAAGATTCCTCTGGCAAGTATCAATATCAGCGAGGAGGTGAATAAGACCGGTATCTGGCAACAGGTCAACGAAGGCAACGAAAAGTCGAAGCAATCGAAATCACTAATCAAGTAGGTATCGAATTTTAAATAATTGTACGTATCCTTGCAGAGATTACGTAAAGTAAGACATATAAAACTAAATATAATATAAAAATTAGAATAAAAATCATTACATTGTTTTCTTATTTGTATTTTATCTTTCTTCCGATAATAATGTTTTTTTACAATAAATATTATATTTTAATCCTTATATTTTATATTTATGTGTGTGTGTGTTTTATTATTTTTATATTTTTTGCTTGGTTTTAAAGTGTGCATGCAAGATTTTTTCTACAAAAAACCTTTTTCAACATTGTGATGATGATGTATCAATGATTGATCAAATATGTTACGCTTACATATTCATATAAACCCAATGCAAACTGCGTTCATACATTTCACGTAAAATTGAGATGTTGCGAAAGAAAGAAAAGGAGGAGGACGATTGGAAACAAATAGGCAATTATTAAAATATTATTAAACAAAAATGTCAGAGATATCCTATTTCAGTGTTAAAATTTTCTTAACAATAAATATTAAAATTGTGATATTTCTCAAACAGGGAAAGCAGAAATTAATATGAAGACTATTGCCTATAACTGTTAGAACTAATTATATAATTATTTGGCGCACAGTGTGGGAAAACAAAAGAAGCACCCGAAGAAGGACAACTCGCTGTTAGCCGACGAGACAACGAGACTGACGACGATGACCGAAGAGGACGAAGATGACAGTGGAATCTCGATCAAGGTGACAAACGTAAATGACTCTAAATTCTAACTACCATCACCATCACCAAAAACCGACAATTCATATGGCAAGACACACAGCAAGAGCACCAACACACCGGCATGCAACATATCCCATGCACCGCCGCTGTGAGTAAATTTTCAAGCGAGGACGGCATGACAGTCCTCGTCGAGTCGACGTAAAAGCGAATTCAGACATGGACGACTCGTCGTAGAAAAAATGGATTTTCGTAGACGACGAGAATGTGACGATAATCACGCTTTTATCATATAACAATGACAGTATAACAACGGCTATACATGAAATATTAATTCGCGACTGTAATGCACGCAATTCCGCGTGACTTAGTTTTTAGATTCGAAGCTTCATTTTACTCTAGACGTATAAAAATATCATTGTATAATTATTCAAACAAAAAGAGTTTTTTTTTTATTTTATTATTGTTACGAATTCATTTATTACATTATATGTCTAACTACATTTCATTCTTTTCGTCGTATAGCAACATAATCATCTATGAGATTCAGCTTTGCAATTCGTGCTTATAGAAATATATACGGACGTGTCCTGCGTTGATTCGTGCAACAAAGTAATTAAGCACTGATTGAGAAGACGTTACATGTACGTCTGGACTCATTTCTTATCGATGCCCATATTTCACCTTCATATTACTTATCATGTATGCAGTAGTTAATTTTGTAATTATATGCATTTTGTTATATAAGAGGGATAACCATGCATCCAAAATGATCGAAGAAAGACGTAAAATGCGAATTTAAGAAGAAATAGACTGATATAACGTTTTCTCTCTTTGTAGAAAATGGAATGAACGCATCTATAATTGCATGTTCCTTTTTTCATTACGTTATTAACTGTTTTTTTTACCGTTGCATGGATATTAAAAAACTGCTTTTTTCGTCATTTCATTATATCAATACAATGCATAAATAAAAGAAAAAATCTCAAATTCGTTTAAAAAAATTTTCATTGATAATTTATTAAAAATAGAAATTCTTTTATGTCTAATATATATGATATTTTATATATAATATTTTATATATGATATTTTATTATATATCATGTATCATGATTCGGGAATATCCGAACGTGTACAATTCCAATTATTCGAATATTTGAACATTGACAGCTATAGTTTTAAGTTCATTGTAACAACATCTGATTATACGATGTGAATCATAAAAAAAACATGTATAAGAATATCGTATTGCCGTGCAATAACATATTTCTGCGTGTAGATATTAAGTAATTCAAGTAATTTTACAATCATACTATGCCAAAGAAACCCCACATTATATACGTAAATCAATATACTATACGTATATGCTTCCTTTGAGAGATATCTGGCAAGTTATTGCTGGCAAGTGTTGCGGAATACGATACATGCTTAAAAAAGGAAATCTGGCAAAAAACCACTTATTAAGAAAACGCTCCAATTAAATATTATTCATTATCTAATAATACAATGCTGTCGCGACGCGAGCAATAATTATTGAAATTATTTTGTGAGTTAAGAGCAGAAGAAAGAAAATGTTATGTTTACAGATAAACGATATTTATTCTTTCCTCCCAAATCAATATAATGATATATGACTTCTTTTGTGTGTTTCGAAGTACTAACATCGTGCAATTTTTAAAAAAGCAATTTTTGAACACGGAACTCCTTCCGCATTCATAACCGTTTCGCTCATAACCGAGATTAGCTTATAATAGCAATTCATTTTTTGTTGACATTTTAGACAAAAATTTTATTTTAAAGTAAAAATAAATAACGTATCTTTGTTATTTTCTAAAATTCAGAACTCTAGCTAAAATCTTACGCGAGCTAAACTTTAAAATTCTATTTTCATAATTATTTTAATTTCTGAACACCTCCAACTAGCCATTAGCGACAATATATATATTTAAATTAAATTAAATTAAATTTTAATTATAATTATAATATTTAATTAAATTCTAATTATCGTAAAATTAATTTGTTTGTCGCAATAAAAGTTTTACGTACTATAAAATATAGATGCAATATGTGTAATGTTTTATAAAGTAAGGCAGTAATAAAAAGCAATCCCTTGAAGGATAACTAATGTTGTTTGTAATTAAAGGGAAAAAATACAACCGTCGATTTGTAGCCTGTGGCATATAATAATTAATTATGTGACGATTCTTATGACTTTACTGAATGACAATGGATATATTCTGTCGGATATGTAAATAATTATCGATTATTGAAATTAATTGAATAGAAAAAGGAATTTTTAGTACACTATATTCTTGAAAAAAACATAATTTTTCAATTTTAATTAAATTATGTAGCACAAAATATTTCATTAAAATACAATTTACTATATTAAATTGTATAAAAAAAAAAAATAATTGAGGTAACTAATTTCAGAAATTTCAGTATCAAACCAACAGAATAATTGCATTAACAAGAAACGCGTGTAACTTGTACGAATCAGAATATATTAAACAAAAAAATCTTTTCTCAAACGATCTGCAATAGATCTATCAATGATTAAGTATTTAAAAAAAAATGGTTTTTTCGGTTTGTTAACAAAATATAATATTATTTAAGGCATAAATATCCATATGAAATTTCTACAAAATTGAATTTTAAGCCGAAACATGTTTATATATCTTTTTATACGAACATTTTGCTATAACGAGTAGTTCGAGAAAACAGATTTCAATATGGAGCCAATGCGAAACTTACAATATATACGTTCAATATATATGTTCAAAACGTAGGAATGCGCTCAAGGGAAGACCTACTGTGTTAAAACAATATAAAACGTTTATATCATGCTGGAAAGTATAAGCGCGTGTGCGTACTTTTAGTATATTTGTAGAGAAAGAAAAATGTGTGCGCTTGCGTGTAAAGTATTTAAATCATTTGAAAGTCATACGCGAACACGCGTTCGTTAAATATTAACAACGCTTATCTGTTATTGCAATATTAATGTTATATGACGTGACATTTGGAATGCGCAGTATCGTATCGTAAACTGAACGAATAAAAATGTCTAGAAAGTGTGCCATAATCTTAGGAATGCGGGTATATAAATGTGCAAATATTAAATCTATGAATACGTAAAAAAAAAATGTAAAAATTTATCTAATATGGAAAGATGTATGTATGATATGTGTATGTATAGTGCGTTCCACATATCACGCAACAGTGTTCTTCGATGCGTTGAAATAAGAGAACTCTTTCACACATTCGAAGAGCATAGTTTCGCGCATAAATTTCGCAGCGAATTCACGATGATGAATGGGCTATAATTCGCCGACGTAGTATTAATTGGTTGTGATTAGGAAAGACGGAAACTAGTCCCGGAAATTGTCTCGGAAACTAGTTTTCTAGTCAACAAGGAAAGTAGCTAAAATGCCTGTCGTATAATTATAAACCATATGCTGTGTTACTTTAAAATTTAATGTGCAATTATTAAATGTACAAAGATTGAAAGATTTACTATACCGTTTTATGTTATACAAAATGACATTCGTAAACGTGGGCCTACGCTATAGCTGGATAGGATCGCATTGAGAGATGAACTTCGTGAGGTACTTGTAGGAATTAATAGCTTTTAATGACCGTCGTTAGTGACGATCGTATTTGACGATAACGATTGTTTAAAAAATTCCCGAGCCGGTATAACGAGAAAGTATGATCTATGACAGTAAGAAAATTGATTGTTATAAGACATTATTCTTATGAGAAAGATGGAAAATATTGGCAAAATCAATGGATGACGGCATTAAAAAAGAAAATTCACACATTAGAGAAATTTGTACTAGAATTCCATTTTATCATTGTATTCTATAATAATCGAGTGCCGTTCAAGATATGATGTATAATGAATAAATTAATTGATAATTATATGTAATTAATGTATAATATATATTTTTTTACACCTCTTTATCCTTCAGTTCTGTAGAGATCAAAATTGATTACATATAAGAACACATATTAGAGGAAATTACATTAGAAAGTTACGGATACACAGTCATCGTTACAATTCTGCGTACGTGTCGGTATCCATAATTGAATTTATAAAATTCTTCAATTCAAAAAACTTCCTGATACATCGTTGTCTTGTTTATCTTCAATTTGTTATTATTCTGTGTTTTACGAATTTTCACGTGTACAATTACATTGTGATCTCGAGCTTCCCATTTGAAATTGTACAAGTATCACTAGATACGTCACTACCGTACCGATCAGCTGATGATCAAAATTATTATTACTAACAATAAGTATATATTAATTATGGGAATTTTTAATTCTCTCTCTCGTATCATAGCATTATTCTCATTATTCTTACCGAATAAAGAAAACTGTTATCAAGAGTGAAGTATCCATTAGCTGTGAATCGTATCTTACGATGTAGTATTTCAAGCGAAAATTGCTTGAGCTACAACAATAAATCTACAATAAATGTTACAACAAGGAGCATCGTTAAAAGAGATTCATTTATGATTACCTCTGATTTTGCTTCTTTGCCGATCGTACAACTTAAGATGTTATGAACTATATTGCCCGTTTTCTCCATCTATAATAAATTCATAATTGGAATAATATCACGCAATCTCGTAAAATATTCTGTTTTATCTCGCTTTTCATCAGTAAATCGATTAAAGCTATAACTATAATTAGAGCACGATACATAAGCTTGAGTTTGCATTATCCTACCTCGTTCAAAATCTTAGTAATCCTGTTGGTGAGGATAAAAAGGGGGTAAATTAGATATATTAGCCAAAAGATGGTGTTACTAAAAATCTCGTATTCTAAAACTTCGTCGGACATCAACAGAGGCGAGAAAAGGTAATAGCCGTTATATATGAGTGACAAAAAAAGGAAAGTGACGCCGAACAGTATTGGCAATGAGTAAAAATCCGACACGTTCCCCGAGATCTCGCAGAGATGACAATGCACATCTCGCAATTGCAGCAGCTGACGAACGATAGAGTTGCTGACGATGACGCGGCGCGTCTGACAGAAGGACTGCGGTCGAAAATCCGGTGTGCTGACCCTGGACAAGTCCTCTATCGCCCGATTCACGTCGGCGAAGTCCGCCTGGATAATCGTGACCAGCATAAAATACTGTATTATCATCCACCCCACATGAAATGTCGGCAAGATGTCCGACAGCCAGGAAATCGGGCTCGAGTGGAAGGCCAGAACTTCGGTGATCAGGAGAACGATCAGCAGGCAAATGTTCAAGATGCAGACGATGATCAAGGTACACAAGACACGCTGTCGTCGCAGCGGATTATACAGACGATATAGATGATCAATCTCATGCTCAACATCCGTCAATCGATTTATTATCCGCACGAAGAATTTCTGGTCGACGCAATAGAAGAGCAGAATCGTGCAGATCACGATGGTGCCGAGTATAGTTTGTACAAGCTCGATGGCCACGGTCAAATTCGTCTTGTTCTCGTACTTCAGGTTAATTCTGTATGGTATCGACAGATAGTTCGAAGCGACCGTTAAGCTGATTAGCACTGTGTTGTAGACGATACCATATTCGGAATACTGGAATGTATATAACGTCCTCTTTTTCGATGTGTCAATACGATGGGTGAACGTAGCGAGACCGATAAGCTTGAAAAATATTATTAACACCGGAAGCATCCAGAGAGAATTCTTATGCGACTCCGATCTTATTTTCATCACTTTCTGTTTGCTGATTTTTTCCGCCGCATTGTTCACTTTATTTACATTTCCGAATAAATTGCAAATCTTATTCTTGCGATGATTATTTTCCTCCATAATTCACAATTTAAAGTTAATATCTAATTCTTCTCTGTTATATTTTATCAATTTATATATATTCATGCGCTCTTTCATGACTTATAAATATTTTCTGTTGTTTCCATATTTTAATTAAATATATGTATATAAATTTTATATTACAAATATATGCATATATACACTTTTATAAACTATCTATGTGTATAAATACTTTTTTTAGATTTATACATTGTCATTTGAAATCTTGCTTGTTATAAGATAATATCATTTCACATATATATAATTTATAATTAGATAAAGAGATTGTTTTTTATCGATATCTATCTTTCCAGTTATTGCGAGTCGAAATTAATCGTATTTGTTTAAACGTCATATAAGACCAATTATCAAAATTAGTAAATGACACTGCGCTCTGCGTCGCGCATTATTCATACGAAGGCACTAAACGTATGTAGGGAGAAATTTTCATAAATGCCTTCCTCGCGATCGCATCATGTATGCAAAACATTAAATATTAAGTCCGTGAGACCCATAAGCATGTAATAAAAAACCTGAGGCTAACACTTTTATTCTGTACCACCCGATACCAATCCCGCGATAAAATAGCAGATTACAGAGTAGGAAGCACGTTGTGTTATGTATTATTAGTGACATCCACTGAGACTCTCTGGAATATTTATTGCTGCATATACAATATGGCATGATAAACGGGTACGATATGAATACAGGATATGTTGCTTGCGTTTTTTCCAACTCTAATGTTAGTTAGATTATCGTAGTAATTAATGCAAACATGGCTTGAAAATTTCCTCATAACTTCAACAATCCGTCACAATTATTAAATTTTTATAGAAATATATAAAAATTGTTTAGCCTTCAACACAAAATTCTGTCATATCAGCGATAATTTTTTTACGAAATAAGCATACGTATATCTTACTGCTTTATATAAAATATTTGTTTTATTGTCAACGAGAATTTTGTCATGTGACGATTTATCTTAGAATACAAAACTCACGTATTGAATATTGTTTTTTGCGTTTTCTTGATGTAATTTAGACATTCTTTGTTTTTTTGGGGTTTATGTTCGATTATCTTCATTCATAATATAATTTGAAATTATGAGATTTCTCTTTTTATGATTTGATAAAAATATTTTTCGTTTCTCATTTTTTAATTCTACATGTATCTAAAATACCTATATAAAAATAAAATAATACGTTGAAGCAAGATATAAACTTAGATTGTACACTCGTATATTATCTATTCCATAGTATCTGTACAAGTTCTATGCACATACACGTTATAAATCAAGCATTTACATCGGTTTTTCCCACTGTAATGTGATCTTGCTTCTATAGAATTGACTTTTAAGTATTCATAACTCATCTTTGAATTTATTATCGAAACGAAGTTATAAAACCATGTTACGAGCCTCTTACAAATAATAAAACAATATTAAAACATAAAAGTAGATAAATATAGCTAATACAAATAATTCGATCATCATACCTCGTTATATTAAATTTTCATTGTTTTAGATATGCGATTTTATTAACAAGATTACTTTTACAAATTTTCTTTTATCGAGATATGCGATTATAAAATTACAACTATATCCTATGTGATTACTAAATGTACATTAATAATTTAATCTAACTTGTGTGATATTAAATTCAATGTAATTATAATATTTTCGTTATATTTTTACGAAAATGGAAACAAATTTACTTGCGGTTTGTAGAATAAAATGTATAATACCTGTTACGGCAGTTTATCCCAATTTTTGACAAAATTTCGATACAAAAATTGCATCCTTAATAAATTCTGATACTTTCTTCTCACAATACATTATATATATCATCAATTATAAAATAAGATTTAATACTTACCAATTTCGTAAAATGTTTACAGTAATTGCCACGTCGCTCGTAATAAAGATATGATAAGTCCGAAAACTTGGTTTATATCCCTAATTTGTACAATTTCGATACCTTTTTACGAGCATTAATTTTAATATAATAGCAATGATTGTAATCAAAACAGCAATATTTTGAGTACACGAACAATATATTATATTACGAATTATACGAATACTAAAAAAAACGTAAGTATGTGTAAAAAAAACATATTTTTATCTTTAAAATGCAATGAAAATGAGAAAAGTTATTTTCACGTAACAGAGAAAATTTCTAAAATACGATAAAAACGCGAGAAATTAATTAAAATAAAATGCAAATAGCAAAGACTATCTTCCTATTGCTCATTGCGTTATTTTTATGTAATATGTGATGTTTATCGCTAACATCAATTGTATTAATTAAACAAGTAAATAAGTTTTGTGTGAATAGTGTTTATGTGCTCTTTACAAATTTTCTTCATGGCACTACCCGAATATACAAAGACTAGTATTTCGATACATGACAGCATTATTTTACTGTCAAGTAAAAATACTATGCATTTCGAACTGATCTTATCCATTATAATATTAGCCACTTTTATTGAATAACCTCTGACAGTGAATATTTGCCTGATCTTATCCAGTTAGTTATATGATCAGTAGTGATTGCAAATATTGTATCAAGTGATGATGCAGGTGAACCGCAATCGCACAATGTGGATATATACTCACAAACTCATGAAAGAAAATATAACACAACTTATTCAAGAGATTGATTTCCACGTGCGTATAAGTGATATCGATCGCATTCACAGAATCACACTTCAATTGGTTTTATAATTCCTTTTAACACTTTTTATCCAATAATGTCAGTGTTGTAACACTAATTTTATTCCTCATATGTAATAATAATTTCTATTTTAATTTTTATATTTCATGCTTTTATTAAATAATGTGGATATTTTAAAATAAAAATCATAAATAATATATACTAATATATGTGGATTTAAATTTCATTACGTTTTATTTATATGATTGCATATGTCAACAACTTAACATTTGCTAACTAATATAATGCTTTTTTGATTGTAGCAAGAGATCATATTATTTACATCTCGCTAAATAAAAAGTTAAATTTTAACGAATTTCATGCTTCTACTTTCAAATATATTGTAGAAGTTACATTTATATGTCGTTAGACAACAATTTAATGATTGTGTAAGAACATACGTGTATAAAATATAGACAGAGGATTATAAAGCCAATATAATGGAAATATAATTTTATAAATGCGGTCGATATACTTTAGCTATATATTCGTTTTTTTTTTCCTTTTTTAGTACCATGGTGGTATACAAGAAAATAAGTAAAAGTTTATATTAACGAAATAAAATTTTTATGTATGTTACTTGGTCTCCTCATTCTTGGGACTCTCACTTCTAGTAGGCATTTCTGCTTCTACTTCTGTTTCAGCAATTGTTTCCGACTCCACCTCTGTTTCTGCTTGTGCTACTGGATCAGATTCCGTCTGTGCTTTTGGTTCCTGTTCAAATTCCTCTTCTGGTTTATGCTCTGCTTTTTGTTCTGCTACAGATTCTGCTTCAGCTACTACATCTGTGTCTAGTTGACTGGCACTATCATCTGCAAGTGAATCTTCTGATCTTCCCGCATCTATATACACACACACACACACATATCAAGAATATATATATATACATATATATACTAATAAGATGTCACAGAATATACTTTTTATTGTTGACGTATCATATCTCTATATATTATAAAACTATTTCATCAGAAGTTATAAAGCCAATCAGTTGCTTATTATTTATAAAATAATAACAGAACTACCTGAACAAGCAGGATCAGACATCAATGAAAACACTTTCTCCTCAGGCATATCTTTTGTCAATTCTTTGAAGTGGACCACTTGATTCGAAAATGATTGCCAAAATGACTGACCTTCAGGTATAGTAAACATAGCCTGCACATTTTAAGTTTTGGTAAACATATGACAAAAGAAACATTAAAATAATTAAATTTAAACTTTTTTGCATAATTACTTTATACTTGTTGTATATATGCTCAGCCTTTTGTCTAATCTGTTCTGCCTTTTGTTTGAAATTAGCCTGGAAAAAAATGTTGTAAATTTATTATAGTAAAACAAAAATAATAGCACATATAAAACATTTTATAAATGTATTATTTATATATACCCCTTCTTCTGCGCTTAGTTTCCATTCTCCTAGGTTGCCAATATATCGTCGCAGCTGCAAGAAAAAAGAAAGAAAGAATATATATATATATATATATATACAAATCAGGAGACTCAGGCTAATGTGCAGTACTTAAAAAGCGCAAATTATATATTTCTTAACAAAATCAAAAAAATTCTTTACTATCAAAATTATTTAAATATTTGATGATTACTCACCCTTTTCACTGTTTCAACAATATGAGGGTGTTTTTTCAACATTAAAGGATCAATTGAAAGAGCCAAGATATCATCCATTGCCTGTAAGCATTTATCTGTATTTGCTCGATCTAGTCCTAGATTTGATTTTATTTGAGCATCTAATTGTAGGAGTTGAGCTTCTATACGAAGCCACCTAGAAAATAACATTATACATATAAGTAATTAGATGTAGCAACTAAATATAAAAGTCACAACATGTAGTAGAGTCTCGTTAATTTTGGTCCTTTGGAAATAAAAGAAAAACTCTTGAAAAATAAAAATTAATAGATACCCTCTCCACAGTGCGAGATGTTCAATCATTGTATGTTTATGTTGCGCACGCGAAGCTGTCGTCTGCGCGTGTCGTCACATGATCTGCCCATAATGATATAGAGAAGACGCGGCATTAGTGTTTTTAAAAGCACGTGTGGAGGAATACCAAAATTAACAAAGCCAAAATTAACAAAACACCACTGTAATATATAACAAATTTCTTCATACCTCAGTTTATATGTTTTGCGATGAACAGCTCCATCTTTTGTTAAAAGACGCTTCTCATCCTCTGGCACGACTACATTAAAATCTAGAGAGTCCTTCACCTGCTCTGGCAAAACTTCACCACTTTCCAATTGCGCTTTGAGCTTCATAGCATTCCTGGCCACTATCCAGTCCCATCGCGTTCGAGCTTCTTTACTTTCAAAAGACTTCGGCCTGTCCATATCCAGCTTAATGCCTACATGTTCTCCAGCAAATGTACGAGCTAATAGAACGCGGTTTGATGTATCAGAAGATGTCCCACTTGATACTACCGTTCCATCAAGTATCGGTCCTTCATTATTTCTCTCTGTAAATTAGATAAATGATCAGATAAATTTCAGAAATAGATTATAACTAAACAATTGAGCAAAAAATCTAAAAATGCCTACTTTCAATAGCAGCTCTTTTCTTATGCATTATATTTGGTGTTATTTGATGCTCATTAGAATCTTCACTTTTCACTTTACGACCTCGTCCAGAATGTTCTAAACAGAAATAGTATATAATTTCAAATCTTGAAATATAGATAACATTTTATGATATTGATAGCAAGTACATTTCATAATTAAAACACGATTAACAATCTAGAAATAAATGCATTAATTATTATAGATACATTATGCATTGAAAACAATAGGAAAATCGAGTATTTTTAATAAGAATACTTTATCATCTAATTTTTTGTATGGAATATTTACTACACTTTTTATGTAAAATTTGTAACACAAAAGGAGAAAATATCGATAACGGTCTCTATGCAATAAAAAATATTATATATACCATTTTTATCCATATTGGTTTCAGTTTCATCGGAACTAGAGAAATCTGCAAAGCGTTTTGGCTTAATCTTGCGTCCACTGCGACTAACTACTTCTTTAGGCGATTCCTCGCCTTGTGAATCTAAAGCAGCTTCCTGTTTCGATGCATCACTTGTGGCTTTCCCTCTACCACGTTTCTTTTTTACTTCTGGAGTATCCTATCATCATGTATTATTTCTCTCAATATGTTTGATTTTTTTAAAGATATATGTTATAAATAACATTGTAAGGAATAATCGCACAAACTATTTAATCTTTAAAAATATTTGTCGGCAATTCCTAATTTTCTTTTGGAGTATATTCATCAATAACTGTTTTTTTACACAGTATTGTAAAGCATGTATTGAGTACTCCAAAGCTTTTTTACCATTTTTTTACAAACATTAAAAAACAACTTACAGGAGTATTGGAGGTAGTTGTAAGAGATTTCCTTTTCAAAGATTTCTTTTTCTCTCCTTCATCTATCATTAAGGAACCAGATTCCATGTCACTATCTGTAGCACTAACAGTTGGCAATTCTGTCGCATCAGTACCTTTAAAGACAAAACAAATCGATTTATTTCTAGAATAATTATTTTGAAGAATATAACTAATAATTATATAAATAATATAATTATTATCAAGATAATATTAGTCATAGTACCTTTAATGGCAGCGATATCTGCCATAGGCTTATTTCTGTCATTTTTAAGTTCTTGTTCAAGTTGCTGTATGCCCTCATGAAAAAACTTTCGTCGAATAGGTTTGCAAAACTTTGCTTTGTTTTCAGTATAAGTATACAACTCTTCAACCTTGCAAACAGCTCTGACATTTAATATTATATTTGATTAATATCATGAAAATATTCATCGACAATATTATGATAAACATTAATATATTACAGAGTAATACTATGTTAATATAATAAATAACGAAATTTGTAAATCACTTATGATGTTACTTACGTTTCTCCTGTACCATAAAAGTAAACGCCATATTTAGCATTCTTTGAATTTGGATCACTAACTTTTTCAACCTGCAAATAGATGGACATTACATAAGTTACATTTGTATATAATGTCCAAAAATGAAACATATACATTTATTTGCTGCAAATATACATATGTATATTGTCATATACGTATACATATATATAATTCTATATATATATGTACATAATCTTAGAAATTATATGCAGTTATAGACAATTATAGAAGAATATTAATAAATTTTTTTGTCAAGTTTAATTAATATTAATATAGATATAAACAACGACATATGTCAATTATCATGATCATGTAAGACACAACTTATTGTTGGAAATGTCATCCATTCCATATAAATCCCGCGCTTTTCTTCCTCCTATACGAAAAACGCGATCTTACAAAACATGACCGCGTACACACGAGATAATCTAAAACTCTATCTATAAATAATTGATATTCATCCTCTCCTTGCATCTACGTAATCGGATATATTTTTGCGGAGAATGAGATACGATAACATCGCATAGGGTATTAGGAATGTTTGTGTCTCGTCGTAGCAGCGCATCGCGTCTGGATTCTTACTTTGGCTGGCCATGGCGGATAACCTCGAACTTTCGCGAACACTTTGTCACCCGCGAAGAATTTCTTCAACAGCTTCACCATGATGATTACGAACGATCCGCGAACGCGGCACCGATTTGTCTTATCGCACTCTCTTCCTCGCCGAGCGCTCTATTAACGGTATGGCGTAATTAATTTCGAGGTAACACCTCACAAAACACCACGACAACCGCCATTTGCACGACACGATCACATCGAAAAATACACGCACGATACGACGCTCAATCCGATTCGTCGTCGGCGTCAGCGAGCGGCAGATCTACCCGCGCAAAGTCGAGCACGCGATTGTTGGTTAAATACGCGAACGCTGATTGACCGCTGTTGACTGCACATCGCACCAATCAGCGGTCCTCGATATTATTCTGCTATTCTTGTCGGTGCAGTATCCATGTAAATTACTCGTAAAGTTTCGCGTCATGCGTACGATATTCCTTGGATAAGAAACTGCGCGAAGATGCGTGAGTTTGCGAACGCGTGATTAGGACGCGACTCAATGGGATACGGACTGTCTGTCAAATACTGTACGAATATTCGGGCGACACATTTATTCAATTTTCGAATGTGCTCGGCGACGTTTTGAGGAAACGTGCGATGTTGTCCTCGACAACGATTTCGATAGCACGCCGTCTCGGATTTTCACGAGGACCGTCGAGCAGGATGTAAGTTCGTATCACGTTACGTTAGTTTGTAATGCATTACGCGTTCATCCGTGTATTTTCTTTTTCATCTTCGCCGATTTTCCGCGGTATGCGTGCGACTTACAATGCGCTTTTGATTATTTATTAACATCCTTCGTTAATCTTTTACAATCGACTCTCGGCCATTCGATGTTATATCTACCTGTCACATAAGAAATTCTGACGAATCAGTCATGTATCACAAATGAGATTTTGCATTATTTATATTATATTCTGGCTCACATAAATTTGCATCATGATTCTACGAATCATGTTTAAATGTCACTGAAAATATCTGTATAAATATGTGAGAATTAAATTTGAGGAATGACAAAAAGAAATATTCAATGAATATGAGTTATATATAGACTTATCAACAAATGTTGAGAAACAAGATTATGCATAATGTGATGAATATGAATTTTTAAATGTGTAACATGAATAGATTAATATTACTTAAAATATGAAAATATATTTTATACATAGTAACTTCATCAAATATGAACCTAAAAAAAATATTTCGATATTTTCATATTTTTAAGAACTATAAAGATTAATAATATTTTATATAACTTTCTTATTAAGAGCAAAAAAATATGAAATAAAACTATGAGAAATATTTTATTTTTAATCTCTTTAATTATTTATCATTTTTTTATGTTATATATAATAAGCAGATGAGTTCAGAATCTCAATGGCAGTGTTGTCTATTACTGCGATGAAAGATGCCAATTCTTAAAGAGCTGTACTTCTGTTGAAGTGGTTCTGGTTCAAGAGGCTTGTGCTAAAGCACAATGAGAGCCATTGTATCAATCATACTGATCACACTGCTGTGTGGCATAAGTTTAGCCTCTGTCAATGCCACTAGGAGATGTGCCAGCAGAAAGAAAAATGTTGAAAATCTTTCTTCGAGACAGGACTCGACAGGTGTACCTGAAAACACATCCAATGACCATAATGTAGGTCATACAGTAAATTATTAAAAAATAATGTGCTTTTTATTGGACAATTACAATTGTCCTAGAATAAAACTTATTCAGTAGAAAAAAAGAGTTCAGTCATGAATTATATCTTAAATTCACAATATCTTGCATGCAAATATTTTAAATGAAATATGTAAAAATAAAATATATATTTTTAGGCAAATGAAGATGTCAAATTTGAGAAATGTAATAATTTCTGTCATGCCTTATGGCAAGAGGATAAGACTGCAAATGGTACCGAAATTAAAATTTTATCTCAAGGTATATAAAACTATTTATATATATATTATGAATATCATTATATATATTATAAACATCAATTAATAAATGCCATCTGATATAAGTAATTGTTATATCTGATATATGTTGTGATATATCAATTAGGTTGCTGGAAACAGTCTGGTGAACAAAAATGTGAAAATACAGAATGTGTTGCGCTTGAGAGATCCACAAAAGCTTTGAACAATACAAAATTTTGTTGCTGTCATGGAGATTATTGTAATCTTAATATTACAAATTCTAATCCTGTTTACTCAGATAACAAAGTATCTAATTCTCTTTCCTCACAAAAAATACAGCGAAGTAAGCTTAACAACAATTAATAGCAATTTTTAATATCAAAATAAATTAAATTATAAAATAGCTTATACTTTTTATAAAGTAATGATAATTAAAGAACATTATTTTATAATTTCCAGCTACACAATATCTTGAACGGTCAAACTATAAACTATGGATAATTATTATACTAATCGTCATATTATGTATATTAGTGATGTGTATCATAGTGACGATTATGTACAAGCTGTATCTTCATAAGTTAGAAAAATTAGGAAAACTGTTACCTTATAATGATCATTTCATGGATAGTCCAGCATTAAGAACTGGTACTTACACAGTTGATCACTTGAAACTCACAACTATTGTAGGTATGTCCTTCTTCATTAATTATTATTTTGTAAAATTAATGTGACATCTCTCTTATCATATTTAATATTAAAATAAGCTCTGTTCTCCTTCTCTATAAATTATAATTGTAATCATCAGGTCAAGGACGATATGGATCAGTATGGCAAGGTAGCATGGGAGATCAAGATGTTGCAGTTAAAATATATCCTTCGCACTATCGCAATTATTTTCAGAACGAGAGAGATACTTATTGTTTACCTTTTATGGAGCATCCATCATTATTGAGCTATTATGGTTCGTATTATATATTTTATTGAAATTAAAATGAATTAAATTATAACAATAATAATGCAAATAATATAAATAATAATAATATATAAAACTGTTTTATATTTTTAAGTCCTGAATCCTTTTTCTTTCTGAGTCTTTAAGCTAAATTATACAATAAATTTGATTAATATTTTAATTGTAGGTGTGGATGAGAGAATAAGCATGGATGGTAGTGTTGAATATCTTTTGGTATTCAGTTTTGCTCCAGGTGGTAGTTTAACAGACTTTTTACGAACACACACTATTGATTGGACTACATTCTGTAAAATGAGTCTTTCAATAGTTAAAGGACTCGCTTATTTGCATACAGATATCCGTAAAGGTGGTATGTACAAAAGACTATTTCATTAAGAGATTATATAATTAGAATTTTTCTATAGTATAGATTTACATAAATATTACTCTTTTTAGACAAGTTCAAACCATGCATTGCACATAGAGATATAAATTCGAGGAATATATTAATCAAAGCTGATGGTACTTGCTGTATTTGTGATTTGGGTTTGGCAGTTCAAATCTCTGGATCTAAATATTACTCTAATGGAGAGGAACAGCATGCTGAATTAAAATCAATTAATGATGTAAGTATCTAAGTATTCATAAGATATTGAAGATTATATTATTATAATATAATTCAATTTCTATTAAAATCTATTATGCTAGGTGGGCACTTTGAGATATATGGCACCAGAAGTATTGGAAGGTGCTGTTAATTTACGTGATTGTGAAAGTTCTTTAAAACAGATAGATGTTTATGCAATGGGATTAGTTCTTTGGGAACTGGTTACGAGATGTTCTGACATTTATATTCCTGGATCAGAAGTACCGCAATATAAACAGCCATATGAAAATGAAATAGGTTTGTTTATATGAAATATCTCTTAAAATGCCTGTTGTTTTAACACTGTTATATTTTATTTATAACAAATATGTGTTTTTTATTGTATACCTTCTAGGTCTTCATCCAACATTTGAACAAATGCAAGTTTTAGTATCACGTAACAAAGCCAGACCACTTTTAGAGAGTAATTTAGTAGATAGACCAGGGGTGCGTTTAATTAAGGAAACTATGGAAGATTGCTGGGATGCTGATGCGGAAGCTCGTTTAACTGCTTTGTGTATAGAAGAACGACTTTCGGAATTGCAATCTCATCGTGGTAATGCATTTAATATTTAATAAAAACTATATATCTTTTACATTTTCTAAAAAAGGACTTATCTTGTAGTAACAATGCACTTTACTGATGGAAGTCCAATGGTGAATTCTCATTGCACCCTAGTGCCTTCAACGACAAACAGTCTTTATAGCGAGTCCTCGCATCATGATAATGTACATGTTGTTCAACTTGCATTGAACATGATGCAAGATGGTAATGACAGCGCAATAGCTGAAAACTTAGTTATATTATCACCATCTGATAGTGTTGCTCATGAACACAATTGTAAGTAATTGATATTAATAAACATTATATATTTCGTAATACTTGTAATATCATTTTAATCATCCTTAATCTATATTTCAGTCAAAAATTCGAACGAAGTAGCGACATATAATCATACTCAAACGCTTCAGCCGTATCAAGGCAGAAATCCATGTATGGAGAGAAATTTAATGTTACAATCTGATTCCTTAGACGACTTGGGCTGCAATGGCAATGTTCTCGTCGATAAGTCACTGAAACATGCGTGTCACGATCAATATAAAATCGTCACAGAAGCACAAGGTCTGGTTTCACACGATTACTTAAGTCAACACACTACTCAATTAACGCAACTTAGACCAGCGACGCCTATACCATATGTCCAAAATGTCATTTCCGACGAAGGGTCAACTTCGTGCGGTAAGCGAAAACAAACGAACATACAAGATTCGTCGCTTCAAGAAAGTCCACGAAAAAAATTATTTGCTTGGCCCAATTTAAAAAAATTGCTCATTACTAAAAAGATGTATCCGTACAGTAAATACCAAATAGACAGAGAGGATTCTAAATCCAATTTATTATCAAAGCAAAATATCCAAATTAAAACTGTCGAAACAAATGTAACAATCTCGCCTGGAGGAAAGTACGTAAATGGTATTGTTGGTAAAACTTCTACCTCGGCGATACCAATAGAGAAGAATGACAAAAATACCACGCAAACGGGGAAGCAAAAGCAATATGAAATTGATAATACGACATTCAACGCACGTCCTTCTACTTTGCCACTTGTAAATTTAAGAAACAAAAAGAGAGAAAACAATTTAAGTAGACAACAGAGTATTGACAAATTTAATGAAGTCTTTAATGTGGGCTCAAACATAAACAATGCATTAAAGGATCCACATATGAGAATAAAAACGCCTGGTGATTTGCCACCATCCGTTAGAAAAATTCGTGGTCGTGCGCAATCAACGGCGAGATTTTCTCTTTACGATGATCGTATGATGTGCAATATCCTGAGTGAAGAAGATGATCGAAATGACAAAGCCATTTGGAATTCAGTGCCATTTGGTATGGATCTCGGTGATAATGATGGGAAACATTCACCAACGAAACTTGGTACCAAAAATGTTACGTGCTTTTAATCAGATATGATATTAATGTGTTTGTAAAGTCTTTATGTCTATAACTTAGTCAAAGGAAAGAGGAATGTTGTAGGATACCTCTAGCTTCAATTTATGTACAGAGAGAAAGAAAGAAAGAGAGAACTTATGTCTATAAGAATAAGATTTTATACTCAATGCAAATATATTATCATAATATAGACACAATAAAAAACAATAAAATTAAAAGGAAATTTGGAAAAGAAGAATATATTTAGAAATTCGTGCTATTCAATTGGTTTGTCATGTTATATTGATAGCATATTTTGTGCATCATGAATGCTTTTGCTGAAGTAGATAGTTGAGTATGACAAGAAGTGCACATTACAAATAGAAAATAGAAAATCAAATTGACTTGCGATCTATATTCGCTGAGCTATAAGAAATGAGTTTATTTGTTATGACTCTGCTTTCGTATATATAGTATTTGTGAATCATCTTTATAGTCAATGTTTCTTTCAATTCCATATTTGTAGATTTAATTAATTCAGTATGATTGATAAACATAGACAATCAATATTGACACATTTACATCACGTCGTAAGATATTATTAACATCTCGATGTGTAATTGTCTTTTATTTTTTCCACAACATTTAAAAGACATAATCTCTATGTAATGTGTAAAACAATCTCTTAATGTTAATATTTGTAGAATATTCTCCATTTTTGATATTATTAGCTCAAAGACTCATAAAATTACAGACGAAAGTAATGCAAACTCAATTTTTTTATTATTGATTTTATATATTTCACATAAGGATTCGGTGTTTACTTTCTATGCGTGCACGCGCGCATATAAAGTATAATTTAAGTTTTAAACAAATCGTGCAACAAATTTGTTCATTAATATGCAACGATAATTATCAGATATATGAATCTACAATTAATATACAAAGCCATTAATATTAATATAAGTGATTATAATTATAAAGTAGAAATAGAGTAAAAAGATATATTTGAGCACAAAACTATAATACTATCGAGTTATATGAAAATTATTTTTCCTGATCCTATAAAAGTTCAGTGTAAATACCCGTAGTATAAAAGAAGACTATTCAAATGCGTTAAATATACTTGTTATGTTATATCATGTTATGTTGAAGATGTCTTAAATTCTTATGTTATATATTTTTTGCGCGGTACTTTATTCTACATATTATTATTAACAAAATTAAGATAAATAATAATGATTATGCAATTCATAATAAAGTATCTCTTTTATCGAAAATTTTCGTCTTTTTATTTATAATAAAACAAACATTAGACTATAAGAAATGGATGTTATATGAGATAAATTAAAGAAAATTTTATGAGAATATTTCAAAAAGATTTATAAGAATTTTAAAACATTTTATATATTAACTTTTTGTATATTTATAAAATTACGAATGTTCGACACTTCTTTGATATTCATCTTTTAGCTAGGTCTTTCTCTGTATTTCTATCTATATCTATGTAATTCTATATAAATCAATTGTGTGTGTGTTTATTCAATAAATTACATTTTTATTGTGCCTATTATAAATGAAATATTCTCTTCAATTATTTAAATTTTCGTAATTCGTAATGAAATTTTTTTAATTTGTAACTTTTTATTTCTGTAAACTTGTATATATATTTCTTAACTACATCTTTAAATTAAATCGCATATATTAATTATATATAATTATACATGAATTTTTATTGCGTTACATCATTGAAACTTTGATTATGTAGTGGACTAGTGACAGTGTGTGACGTGTGTTTGTGTGTGTAATCTCGGTAATGTCGGACGTCGTCGGTGCTTCATGTAACATCGTACAAAAAATAATTCTGACAGAAAAGTTATAGCTATAAAAAATTAGTTGATATTAGATAAAATTGATAATTATGGCTATCATGAGTCTTTTAAGTCGTAATATTAATTTAACTCAATTGTCAAAGCTGCATCCACGCATCTATGAAGTAAGATTCTTAACCTTTACTTTACCTTTAAATTCTTTGTAGCTGCTTTCGTATTCGTTAATAAGAAAATTTCATTACGACTTACGAAATTACTTCATTTTTTTTAAAGCAAAATGTGCGGTTTTGGGCGTCACATGCTAAATTTGCTGAGCATAAATCATTGGAAAAGCTCAGGAATATTGGTATATCAGCTCACATTGATTCTGGTAAAACTACCTTGACCGAACGTATTTTGTATTATACCGGTAGAATATCCGAAATGCATGAAGTGAGTTGTAGAATTTAATTATTATGTATTTTTATGTATAGAGAGATTGTTAAAATTAGTAAAGTTAATATATGTTATTATATATTTATATTTCAATATTTCTATAAAATGGAAAGAGATAATATATATATAATATACTTGTTCCTATTAGGTGAAAGGAAAAGATAATGTGGGTGCAACTATGGACAGTATGGAATTGGAAAGGCAGAGAGGAATCACTATTCAATCTGCCGCGACATATACATTATGGAAAGATCATAACATTAATATTATTGACACACCTGGACATGTGGATTTTACAGTGGAAGTTGAAAGAGCTCTACGTGTTTTGGATGGTGCTATACTTGTCCTCTGTGCTGTGGGTGGTGTCCAATCACAGACTTTGACTGTAAATAGACAGATGAAAAGATACAATGTACCCTGCTTAGCATTTATCAATAAGCTAGATAGAATGGGCGCAAATCCAAAGAAAGTCTTACAGCAAATGAGAACCAAACTACATCATAATGCTGCGTTTATACAATTGCCAATTGGTCTGGAAAGCAATACAAAGGGAATAGTTGATTTAATTTCTCAAAAAGCAGTTTATTTTGAAGGAGATTTCGGAGAACTTATTAGAGAGGATGATATTCCAAAGGATATGAATGCAGGTATGCACATAGAATTAGATTTCAAAATCACATTGGCATGTCTGTTTCTCTCTTTTTGCTTTATAAAATTATTACATTTATGTTACATTCATTAGAGGTGAATGAAAAAAGGCAAGAATTAATCGAGCACTTGAGCAATGTGGATGATACGCTTGGGGAATTATATCTAAATGATACAAAGATAACTGAGAAAGATATTATGAATGCTATACGTAGGAGTTGTTTGAAAAAAAAATTTACACCTGTACTAGTTGGCACTGCATTAAAGAATAAAGGTGTTCAGCCATTATTAGATGCAGTAATTAATTATTTACCAAATCCAGGAGAAGTAGAAAATTATGCTCTTCAAGAGAAATCTGAGTAAGCTTTTTGTATATTAATAATAATTGATACTTATATATGTGCCATATATCTAAGGATAAATTTTGTTTTATATTTCAGTGGAGAACATACTAAAATTTTATTAAATTCTGATCGTGATGATAAAAATCCTTTTGTTGGGTTGGCGTTCAAATTAGAGGCTGGCAGATTTGGTCAATTAACATATTTCCGTAGTTATCAAGGAATGTTGAGAAAATCTGATATTTTATACAATACAAGAACAAGAAAGAGGGTAATTATATAGATATTGATACACACATATATATTTTTTTATAATTTATCATTGAAATGTGTTTAAAAAATATTATGGTAATTGCTCTATTACTTTATATTTCAGGTACGAACTCAAAGATTAGTTCGGCTTCATTCAAATCAAATGGAAGATGTGACAGAAGTTTATGCAGGAGATATTTTTGCTTTATTTGGAATAGATTGTGCATCTGGTGATACTTTTGTCAAAGATTCTAAGCTAGAATTGTCAATGGAATCAATTTATGTTCCTGATCCTGTGGTATCTATGTCTATACAAACAAAAAACTCAAAAGATCGAGACAATTTTGCTAAGGGTATTGGCCGATTTACTAAAGAAGATCCAACTTTGCGCTTCACTTATGATACCGATAACAAGGTAAGATTTTCTATGTCATAAATTATTATTCTTGGCAAATATATTTAGTACTGAGACATATGTCTTTTTCAGGAAAGTATAATTTCCGGCATGGGCGAATTGCATTTAGAAATTTATGCACAAAGATTAGAACGTGAATATAATTGCCCAATCGTTCTTGGAAAGCCAAAGGTTTCTTTCCGTGAAACATTATGTGAACCATGTGAATTTGATTATTTTCATAAAAAACAGTCTGGTGGTGCTGGTCAATATGCTCGTGTGATTGGAATTATGGAGGTATGAAATATGTGCGTTTTTAATGTTTTTTTATCATTAATATTTATCATATTTATTGATATTAGATATCACTTGTGTGTGTGTATAATCTTTCAATATCTTATTTAAAAGAAAAATTTCTATGTTTCTTATTTTTAGCCTTTACCACCCCAGAAAAACACAAATATCGAATTTTCGGACGAAACTATAGGGACGAATGTTCCAAAACAATATATTCCGGGTGTAGAAAAAGGCTTCAAAGCTATGTGTGAGAAAGGTATGCTCAGTGGACACAAAATTGCTGGTGTTAAATTCAGGATAATAGATGGTATGCATCATTGCGTCGATTCTTCGGAGTTCGCCTTCTTTCAAGCTGCTCAAGGTGCTGTCAGAGATGTGTTTGAAAATGGTAGCTGGCGAATTTTGGAGCCAGTTATGCTGGTCGAAGTAACGGGTCCTGAGGAATTTCAGGTACAATAATACTACCTAATATAGTTTATTTCATATTTATATAATTTATCGCTTTTTTGCTGAATACAAACTTTTACATGTTCTATTACTTAATCAAATTTTCAATTATGTAATGCATTTTATAGGGTTTGGTATTAGGACAAATCAATAAAAGAAGAGGAATTATAAATACAACGGAGGTAAATGAAGGATGGTTCACAGTCGTTGCAGAAGTGCCACTTAATGAGATGTTTGGTTATGCCGGCGAACTAAGATCAACTACGCAAGGTAAAGGAGAATTTACTATGGAATATGCAAGATATAGCCCTTGCATACCGGAGGTACAAGAACAACTAGTTAGACAATATCAAGAATCACAAGGAATCATAGTAGCTCAGAAATCGAAAAATTAACTATAGAGCATTAGGTATATATTTATTTTTTTTTAGTAAAAGATTGCGCAATATTACCATGAATACTGTAAATGTATTATGGTAATATTTATGCTTTATTATACCTACAACATAACTAATATTTACTTAATGTAAATTGTTAAGTTATTAAAAATTTAATAACGATAAATTATTATATAATAATAATTGATGAATGCGATTTGTATAATTGATAATGACGACAGAATGAATGTATCGAGCGGATTGAAGTCTATGTCGAAAATGTGTGATATATAAAATACAAAATAAATACGTAGAAAATAATTTTTATCTATAGAGAAACATACAACAAGATGTCTATATTATATCTTTTATTATCTTCCCCGATTTTCGTTTATAACATATTATATAAAATTTATCTCCAACATTAGCTCTTCTATATTTTCGTACTTCTAATTATGTTAAATATTCTATACGAAAGTGTATTCTCTTTTTTTATGTACCTGTATTTCCTGTATACATACTTTCTTTCAGATCTCGTTTCTCATCTTTTTTTACCCCAAAGCTGATTTTGTTTTGAATTTTAAATGCAAAAAATGTAATAAAGAACTGTGTATATATGAATAAAATAAATGTTATTAAAGAGACCGGTTGTCATGGCGACGACACCTCGCACAAGATGGCGCTTAAGTGGCGCGCGTCGCGCACAATGCGACGCGCAGCACGGTCTTTATAGTCTATCGCCTATCAGTCGCGTCCTGACACACCGAGGGGAAGGTCGTGACGCGCGTCTTCTGCGTTTACCCTCTGCCGCGTTCTCGAGCACGAGATCGGAGCGCGTCGTCGCGAGTGCTACGCCAGGGGAGGAGACGCACCCTCCTGTTCTCGGTCGCATCGCCGAAGCCGTTGCGTGCAGTCGCGCCGCGTGTGTTTCCCGTGTCCGAAAAATGTAATATGGCGATGGTTGCGTCGAACATGAGCGGCCACATACAGAAGCAGCTCACCAGGAGCCTCGAGCGGATCCTGGAGGAGGCGCACCTGAGCGGCGAGCTCAAATTGAGCGGTCGCAAGCTCAAGGACTTCCCGAAGGTCGGGAAAACCGGCACGGCCAAGTACAATCTGCAGGACACCGTCATCGCCGGTGAGTCCGTTTGATATGTTTTTTTCGAAGATATTTTCAGGGTCGATTTTACTAGGGGGAGGAATACAAATATTCGTAGAAAGTACTTGTATATAGGGGAATGCGTATACGCGATTGATCGAATTCTGTTTGTTATTCTTGGTAAAACTTTGTTATTTTTATGCGCGTTTATATTTTGTAATATCGCTTTCCGTCTTATGTCACAATGGATCCGCGTGCACCAGCACACGACGAATTGCCGCATTCATAAATGCATATATTCGCGAATCATTTTTCGTGTACTTGTAAATAATAATTATAACGTCACCGTTATTCGTAATGCATGTTACAACGTTTATTTTCAGTATCGAATCTTTACGTACAGGATGTCACTAAAATCTGACGTCTTATATAGATTCACACTATTTAGAGATCAAACATTAAAAAAACCGAAGATAAATCGTTGAATAAAAAAGTCCACTTCAATTCTCGATCCAATACTTATACTTCGCGTAACTTGAAAAATTTTTTTGAACATTTTTTAAAATCTTGATATAAATTGTCAATTAAAGACTTCTATACATTACGTCCGATCGAAATAGTATTAATTTCCCTATCAGATCTGTATTTTATAGAAGAAAGATTTTTTTGAATTTATTCCTGGCAGAAAGCCTACAATAGAGAATTACCTACGAAGATATTATATCGTGCCAATGAATATATATATTGTATATTGTATGAAACGCTATTAATTTCCTTATAGGTTATTTAACAAGCGAATATACATATGTACCGTTCGCGTTAGTGCATTGACCACAAAAACTTTTAAGCATTACCTAATATGCGTGCACCTGCCAGGTTCTCGACACCTGGCGTGCATTACTCACCGGTAATTGCAACTGATTGCAGAGCTTTATAGCAAACGTATAACGCTGGCAGATTTATTAAACATCCCGCCAAGTATCCCGACGACGATTTAAAAACACATTTACGAACGAGATTCGCATTTTCATCGTGCATTTATGACGCTTAACATCGATTCTTCTTCGTTTCGATTTTACGTCTAGCCTGAAGTACATATGTGCTTTACATGAATATTTAATGTATATTTCAATTGTGTTTCGCAGTACAATACACAGTACAATAATTAAATTTGAATAAGGTAATTACATTTTGACTGATAAAATAATCATTTATCAATCAAAGTGTGTGATTATATTTATTTAATCATAATTGTTTCAGCGTGTATTATACGAAACAATTAAAATATGATAAACATCCATCCTATATATGTACATAATTCGATCAATAAATAAATGTCATTATAATTTATATTAACAAAGTGCAAAGTAAAAGGATAAATAGCTGCATATTATATTATAGGAGCATTAAAAATAAATTAAAATGAGGATTTTTTATTTTTTGTGATACTTTGTAGAAAAACATCCACGCTATAAATAAATATAATTGCATCATATAATAATTGACACGAATTAGAACTAGTGTTAAGTGAAACGAATATTCGCGGGTTAATTCATCTCATGTGAAATAATTCTTATAGATATTAAAATTCTTCTTTCGATTGCGCTATTTTTGCAGTTGAATTCATATTCGCGAAATTCAAACTTCAAACGGACCGAAGAGAATGTAAACGTCTTTCCAAAGAGATAGTTACCGTTAATACATTGTAACACAATTAAAAGTAAAAAAAAAAAAAAATACAAAAAACAAACTTTAAATAAAAATTCATAGTAAAAGAATACAAAATCAAGATCTTGACATATTTCATTATCATATGTAGAGACAAGATGTGTTTGTATATCGGGTGAACAACAAACGTATCAAATGTGCGTGATAAAACAAACTAGAAAAATTTAAATCCGTGATATTTTTATATAACAAAGTTTTGTTTATAGCATTTAGTATGTTTATACTTTATACCATATGTTCTTTCCTTCACACTTGCGAGACAAAATAATATGTAAACATTACATTATACGATCTACGTTAATAACATATTCTTAATGCCTCTATAATATGATAACATCTTTATTAAATGACGTAACATTATGTTTTATTCATTTAAAAGTCTCCAAGTACACAGGTTACAAAAATTTAATTACAATAAAAATAGTAAATGTTATGTGTAGATATCTCTACAGATAATTTTAATATTTTCGCTTTTTTTTAATACAATATTTCTCTTCCGGCGTAATCGTAAAAAGAGTTAACGTGACGCAATACTCTCGAAATAGATGGATACGATGAAAAAGTGAGAAAGAAACGCACACTAAAACAAAATTATGCGCCGAAGTTATGCATCCGTGGAGGGGCTTATTTCTGTCGCGTCGCATAAACGCCGTGTGCGCCGAGAGCTTGCAATCGTGTCCGTAACTCTTTCGTGTCATGCACAAAGGAGACTTTCCGCGCTTTATAATTTTCCCGCCCGATAGATCGACGTCCTGGTTCTCCTTTTATCACCGGGGGTTCGGCCTGGATGCAAAACGCCGCAGGAACCGCGTTATCTCGCTCGGCACACCCAGTGTTTCCTGTTGCTGTAATAAATACGTGTCTAACAGCCGATAATATTCCAAGAACAACGGGAATTAAGTTCGCTAACAGTACGTCAAGTTACGACATTGTCGATGACACTTGAACAGTGACGAAACTTGCGAAATATCGACAGACGTTCCGCGTGGTTCGTCTCTTATTCTCAACTTATTCCATTAAGATGGAATTATTCCAACTATCGTTATTGCATCTGCGATTTCTGCAACTTTGACGAAAAGAATGTCATGAAATAATTGGCAATAATATAATTATATTAATTATTAATATAATTTACTAATATTATGCATTTGCAATATATTTTAATATGAAGCACGACATTTTATTCACAAAGTTATTCACTAAACTTTATTCTCATATATGTTGTCACATTTAATAATTATAATATATTGCAAACAATAATACGATAAATTGTCATACTTACTTTCTTTTGATTAATAATCTACATTAAAATTTCAAGACAGTTAAAACTCTTTTGACATTTTTATAGAAGTAATATATAATCTATACGTGTATAAGATTTTGTAAGAAATAATGTGTACGTGTATTAGATAGATATCTGTGGGTCAACACGCTGTAACATTAAAGGCAATAAATTGCAGGCTATTCTCCGATACTGCGAAAGAATTCAGTTAACTTTAATTCACGGCGAATAATTTCACGCGTTCATTATTATACGGTTAGGTTTTACGATGCTGATTCATAATTCTTAAGCGGAACATAGTATATTTGCGGTCCGGTTTCGCCGATGCAATGTCGTGCGTATTCACACTTTTTCTTACGCATTTTTTTTACACGTACTCGCTTACTCAGTATAATGCCTAACGTGTCAGGAATGTGAGATAACATTGCACGTAAAGTTTTTTCAGTCGTTATCTGCAAGTTTCAATTATGGCTACACCTTCGTGGACTAAGCAGACAGCAATAACGACCTTACTTTCGTGTTCAAACCCAAGAATTTTTCCACTAAAACAACCTGAAAATCCAATGCCCCATATTTTCACCGTTTACAATTAGCGCTAAACGTGACTGAACGGATGATAATCAACGGCTCGCATTATTTAGCGCACTGACACTCATGTCAGAGAAAGTGCAGACGCTTTCTTGCTGATTTCTTATTCATAATTTTTTTTTGTAGTTATTCCGAAACGCCATAACTTATACATATGTACGTGTACACAGATGGCAATACATTTTATTTTAATTATACATATTTTAGATAGAAACATGTATGTGTATGTAAGCGTGATGCGCGGTTCTTGCATTATAGAAATAACACGATATCTGCATATATATCCTCCTGTCACATTCTTTAGCCCGTCCGAATAGCGAACTCATCGAATTTCGATGACGTTCGTCGGGAAATGGACTAGAATTGTAGATTGACGTTGTCCCTGGAGGATGGATCGGTGATGTTCGATGGTAGGGGACCTTTTTACTATTTTCTCGAGCATTATCGAACTGTCCTTCATCCGCCCATCTTACGATGAGTCCCGTGAGAGGGGAACGTAACTTTATTAACGGACCCCAAGTCAATTCGGCTTGCTCGATGAGAGATCTGACAGCTTATTCCCGTATCGGACATTCGCATGAAATATGCACGCGTACCAATTAACGTTACGATTCTTCCCTTCTTCTCCGAGAAGCTCTTTTCAGAATACATATATCATTCTATTTTGACGAACTTAATTTTAATTATAATAGAAAATGTTTCGTAAGATGTGTATTTTTTGATTAAATTTCAGTCACGATTTATAGAAATGAATCGATAAATTAATAAATATTCTATTTAGATAATCTTAAACTGCTTTCGTTATTTAACGTTTTATAACTTGTTGAAATGTTTATCTTGTATAAGTCTTTCTATTCATCTTGCCTTCTCGTCGCATATAACGCATTCGGTCGGAGCTGTTATCGATTATGTCACGGTGTACCGCGCACATTCTTCTTCAGATAAAGAAGAAGGGTGCGACATCCCTTTCCGTACCGTCCCTCTTTATGCGCCATTACAGGCAGATAATTCAGTCATCGGGGGTTGTCCACCACTTCGCTTTGTGGACTTTAAAATCAGTGTCTGTGTCTGCAGTTGCGGGAACGAAACTCGCGCTGACGTTTTCACGATGACCGGAATGCTTTGGCATTCTGCGCAAACTTCTCTGCCAAATGCAATTTCGTCGACGCAGTTACGATCCGTATGTATGTGGCCACGGTCGTGTTGCAAGGACTTCGCCGAATAGTATACGTTTCGAACAAGCTTAGGGTCAGGTTACATCGAATTTTCACGAACATTCCCGTATTCGTATTTGTTTCTAGTAGCTCGGAAACTTAAATAAATTACACGTCACGGTACTATATATTTCGCAGTGCTCTTTAATACATTCAATGACGTATTTTTCTGTCTGCGCTACTAAAAACAAACATATGAATTTTTTTTACGCGATTGTCGATCGTTA